CGCCCAAGGGGGGAAGGTGGAAGGAGGGGGCGAGGGATGGGGTGCCGGATGCCGCGTCGGGACCGTGGGCGGGCCAGAGGGGCCCCTGGGCTGTGGCGGAGTGGGAGGGGCGGACCCGGGGCTGGGAGCCCCCCGAGGCGCACACCTCCGGCGCCCACGGCCAGGACCTCCCCTCTTCTCCCCGCAGAGCTGCCCCCGCGGTGCCCGGGACTTCCGGGCCCAGCAGTGCTCCGAGCTGGATGGCACCGAGTTCCGGGGTCGGCGCTACACGTGGCTGCCCTACCTCGGAGGTGAGTGGGGGAGCCCTGTTCCCTCCTCCCCCTCTTTCTCGCCGGTTCCCCCGCGCTTGCCCCGGTGCCACCCTGCTGGGGTCCTTCCATCTGTCCGCCCTTCCCTGTGCACACTGGTTCTTAAACCTGCGGCGAGTCTACACCACGTTGAGCCCTGTTTTCGTCTGCCCCAGGTGGGAAGCAGAGGCCGCTATGGAAGGGTGGTGGCGCCTGGGGATAGGACCTCGAAGTGCCATGCCGGGATCTGGGGCTTGTGGGGCCTCGAGAAGTGGCCTGGGTACCTCAGAGGAGGGACAGGTCGTTAGGTTTTAGAGAAATACAGGAAAAACACCGCCTGTATGTGAGTAACACATTCCAGATGAGAGCCCCCTCCCTGCCTGTTGAGGTGGCTTTTGGTACCCAGCCTTCTGGGTTCCAAATCCAAATCAGTGAGCACCTACACCGGTGCTGTGCTGGGGTTGTGGCCAGTGAGGTGCCACCTTGAGCACTCAGTACTCCTTCTGGACCCTGAGGGCAACGCATGTCAGAAATAGTTTAAGTATATCCTGCCAAGCACGGTGACTCATGCCTGTAAACCCAGCACTTTGGGAGGCTGAGACGCGAGGACTGCTTCAGCCCAGGAGTTGGAGACCGGCCTGGGCAACACTGCCAGACCTTGTCTCTACAAAGATCAAAAAGTTTACCGTTGCAGGGTCGCCTGATCTCAGGAGGTCAAGGCTGCAGTGAGCCATGATTGTGCCACTGCACTTCAACCTGATTGACAGAGTGAGATCCTGACTCAAAAATAATAATAGTAACAATTCAAATATGTCTACATGGAAGAAAGTCTGAAAGGAGCAGGAAGGGTCCTCCCTTGTGCAGTGGATTGTACTCCTGTTGCACTTTGTGGCTAAGTGATGTGCGTCGAATATTAAGATAAATATTAAAATTAAAACACGCTTTGGAGCTGGGCTCGGTGGCTCAGCCTGTAATCCCATGCTTTGGGAGGCTGAGGTGAGTGGTGGATTGCCTGAGCCCGTGGGTTCGAGACCCGCCTGGGCAACTTGGCGAGACCTCATCGCTACAATAAATAAAAAAAAATTAGCCAGATGTGGTAGCGTGCACCTGTAGTTCCAGCTACTCGGAAGACTGAGGCGGAAGGATCGCCGGAGCCCAGCAGGTCGAGGCTGCGGTGGCTGGGAGCGGCCACTGCACTCCAGTCTGGGCAACAGAGTGAGACTCCAATGCAAAAAAAAAAAAAAAACAAAATTAAAACAAAAGTTTCCCTCCCCACATCTTTCCCAGGGTTGTGGTTAGCAAGTTTCTCGCCCCTTCATGTTATTTTCTTGAATGTGTTTATATGTATGTAAAGAAGACAGATCAGCTACCAAGCTGCCTTCGGCCTGATACTCCATGCCTCTTCCCACATAGCCGTGGTCTCGACAATCATCACCTGCATGTCACATCCCACTGGGGGGTGGCTTGTTTAAAGACCAGCCTCATGTTAGGGCTCGAGTCCTGAAGATGTGGGCTTGTTCTGCCTCCCTGTTGGGAGAGGGAGGAGGTCATCATTGCCCCTAGAACTTCAGCCTCCCCTCTTGCCACCCTAGCTCCCAACAAGTGCGAGCTGAACTGCATTCCCAAGGGGGAGAACTTCTACTACAGGCACAGGGAGGCTGTGGTGGACGGGACGCCCTGTGAGCCTGGCAGGCCAAACATCTGTGTGGACGGCAGCTGCCGGGTGAGCTGTGCCCCTGGGCTGGTGCAGGGTCCCTGTCCATCTGTGCAGGGCCAGGTTGTCATGAACGTGAAGTCTTCTCAAGCTGTCAGGATACCATGCCTAGCTCCCAGGGTGCCTCGCAGCCGTCACAGATGTCCTGTGACCCCAGATGCCCTGTGATCCCTCAACTTTGTTCTTTGGGAGCACTAGCCCCCACAAGAGAAACCTTGTGGGTGGCAGGAAGCTGACTTCAGAAGATAAAACAAAGCACTGAGGGACAGCTGCAGTGCCCGGAGGACCAAGCTAGAAATCCCTCCCTCCCTCACCTCTCCCTTAGGAAGTGTCAGGGCCAGGAGGGCCCCCTTACTGGGAGGTGTGACAGTAGTCTCTAGCATCCCAGGCCTCTGTTGTTCCAGCCTGGCTGCCTCAGGAGAGGGACATCCTTTCCAGGAGCTCCAGTGCCCTGGAGCAGCCTCTGTCTTACTTGAGGCTCACCCTGAACCCCTAACTTGCCCTGGTCTATGTATGGGGGGACTCCATACACTCTGAGGGAGGGAAGCCCCTTGGGAAGCCAGGTGCTATTTCCAGGGGTAGAGACAGGGCTGAACAGCCTGAGCTCACCCAGCTCCCCCACATAAGGTGCTGGGTGGGCCCAATCCTGGTGTGTCCACGACATCTGCATCTCTGTCCTCAGGCTGTCGGCTGTGACCACGAGCTAGACTCGGCCAAGCAGGAGGACAAGTGTCTGCAGTGTGGGGGTGATGGCTCCACCTGCTACCGCATAGCAGGCACCTTGAATGCCAGTGGTCTCAGCAGAGGTGGGGCTCGGGCTGTGGAGGGTTCACATCAGGGCCTGTTGTATCTTTCCTGCCTCCTCCCTGCCTCCAGCCCAGGTGGCCCTCGTGCACCAGAGGGTCCTGAAAGCCCCGTGGCCTCAGGGAGGAGTCCACACCTTACAGTTAGGACCCTTGTCCTTGGTCTGACCTCATCCTGCCACTGCCTGGGTTCCCTCCTCACACCCTCCCTGTGGCCCCCAGCCCATTCCATCCCTTCCCTGGGCTCCCCGGGCCTGTGCCCCCAAAGCTCTTTCCTGGTCCGTCTCCTGCAGCCCTTGCCGACTTGTTCTGCACGGCAGCTCTTGGCATCCTGGGACAGCTCCTGTGGTTTGGGGGTGCTGGGGAAGGATGGCTGGACACCCACAACGGCGTATGCCCCGCCAGGCTACAGCCAGATCCTCCGTATTCCTGTGGGGGCCACCAGCATCCGCATCGAGGAGGCAGCTGCCAGCAGGAATTTCCTGGGTGAGCCGCGGGCGCAGCTGGGCAGGCCGGGGCCATACTGAAGCGCTGACTTGCCTGTCACCCACAGCGGTGAGGAGCATCCTTGGGGAATACTACCTCAATGGGCACTGGGCCATCGAGTCGGCTGGGGCCCTGCCTGCCGCTGGCACCGTCCTGCTGTACCAGCGCGGCATGGAGGGCGACCAGGTTCCTGAGCGACTCTGGGCCCGGGGTCCCACCTCGGAGCCCCTGGTCATTGAGGTGAGCGGGCATTGTGCGTGGGGGTGTCCGGGCCTGAGGCTGGGCACAGCAGGCTGGCAGCAGACCCAGTGAGGCCCCTCCTGCACAGCTCCTCAGCCAGGAGCCCCACCTCGGCGTGTACTACGAGTACTTCCTGCCCCCAAGTGCCCAGCCCGGCCACAGCTGGAGCCACAGCTCATGGAGCAACTGCAGCGCCCAGTGTGGCGGAGGTGAGGGTGCCGGGCGGCAGGTGGGTGAAGCCTGGGCAGTCACTAGGGAGGTGGACAAGTAGTTATCTGTGTTGGAGTCACTTTGGGGAAAACCCTGGGCTCGGACTTGGTGAAGGCCCCCAAACCCCTTCTTAGCCCCCACTAAGAACCAGAGGGGACTTCTCAGAGGTCAGGGTGATGGCCCTCCACTACTCTATTGAGAGCAGGGCCCCGGCCTGGATCCAAGCAGGGCTCTGTTGCTCACAGCTGAAGCCCTCTGAGCCTCAGTTTCTTCATCTGTAAATTGAGAATGGCGATGGCACCTACCTCAGGTTGTTTGAGGCTTGATGACCGGCGGGGTGGTCAGTGGTGCCTGGCCTGGGGGACATGGTCTACCGCCTGCTCCTGGGTCTCTGCACAGGTCACCAGACCCGCCGGGTATTCTGCACCATGGACCATGAGGCCTGCCCTGACCAAATGTGCCAGCACCAGCCACGGCCGGCTGACCGCCGACCCTGCAACCCTCACCCTTGCCCACAGATCAGGCGGTGAGGTCTCGCCAGCCCTCCACCCACAGGCAGGGCCTGTGGACATGGGTGGAAAGGGAGTGGATTCCCTGAGCCATGCCAGTGCAGAGCAGAGGGGGTGGCAGCCCAGGGTGCGCTGTAGGGTGTCTGAACAGACCCGGATGTCCTGTCTTCCCTCAGTGCCCGTGAAGTCCTCAGGACGTCAGGCTGGCGGCGGGAGGGCTGCAGAGGTGCAGGAGGATTATGGGGGTGCCAAAGGGTAGACGAGTTTGGGCAAAGGGCCCATGGGCATTGGGATGGCTTTGCCCATGCACAGAGAACCTCCTCCTGTACCAGTGGGCCCTGCATGTGTGGGGACAGGTGTCCTGGTGGCACTGGCCACGTGGGGTGGGTGACTTGGCTTTGTGAGCACCCTGGGGTGCCCCTTCCCTCTGGGTCCTGACCCCTGGCAGGACAACTCCATGCATGACTCCACTGAGGTCAGACCCAGAGAGAGTAGAGTGTGACCAGAGAAATGGGGGGTGTGCAGGGAAGACCAGGGGGATCCTGGGGGAAGACGGAGGCCCTTGAGGGAAGATGGGGGACCTTGGGAGGAGACAGTGAGGGCCTGGAGGGAAGATGTGAAGGGGTGGATGGGGAGGGAGATGGGGAGCCTGGGGGAAGAGGGGCGAGGACACCAAAGCTGAGGGAGCCAGGCTCGGGTGAGAGCTGGATACCCCGTTGGGGACGGGCCTCGGGTCTGTGTGACATGGGGTCTGTGTGAGGGCCAGTGGCCCTGAGCTAGGCTGTAGCCTCCGAGCCTGGCTAGCTTTACCCA